GGCATATTTTAAAGCATATTTTGCCAATTTTAAGTGCATAAATACATGTTAATTTAGGCATTTTTTAGGGCATGAACGTACGATTATGACTATAGATTACATAGATCTGAAGAAAAAAAAAATAGGAGTGCTTAATTTGAACTTAGGGGTGCTAAAACCCCTATTTTGCCTCCCTAGTTTTACATATGGAAGGAAATATAGAGGAAAAGAACTATAGGGGAAAACCAAGATTATAATATATTCGAGAGATATTTAAAGAACAAGGATGCAACTCATATGTAAAAATTAAAAGGAAAGCAGATAATAAAGAAGAATGTTAGATGGCTGCAAAACAATTCACAGATTAAAACCATAGTCAGAGAATTAAAATGTAACACCTATTTATTACTACATAAAATCATAAAATTAAATTATTTGCATAATCCTTTCAATCAACTACAAATATTTATGGTTTTCAAAACCAATTATTTTTTTTTTTATCATAACTCAATTTATTGTCTGTTTTTTGTACATAAAAAATAAAAATAAAATATTCAGATGAAAATTAATTACGTTGAAATAAAATACGAAAAATAAGGTGACTCATACTTAATACTCCAAACTTAATACTATTTTCTACTTAATACTAGAATTTTTCGTGTGCATCATCATATTTTAATATAATAACCTGTCATAAAATAAAAAAGGATTTTATTTCGTTAATTTTACCATTATGTCTTTATTATCAAAATTGTTTATGTGGAATGTACTCTAATAACAATTTAATTATAATTTCAATATTAACAATTAAGGTTAAAATACATCATAAAATAATACTTTCTGTGATTGGAAGCATAATTTATTTATGTTATTGTTAGTATACACTAATTGATAAATTATAGCTAATGCAATTTTTACCTTCATACGTTGCATTTAGATTTTATATTTACATGGTAAACCTCATTTTAATAAAAACGATTATTTGAAATAAATTGTTTGTAAAATATTAAAATTAATATAAACATAGTGGTTTAAGGAAGGATTATGTAATATTTTAAGACTATGGAAAAGTTTAAAGGTATTTTTTTAAACTCAAATTATTTCGAAAAATATTTTTGAATATTATTCAATTAAAAATCTTAAAAGTATATTTTCAGTAATTTTTATATTTTCGATACTTTGCAAAAGTAAATAAGAAAATAATATAACTAACTGTTAAACAATATTGTTGTCCATACTGAATGTATACTCAACGCCAACAGAACGTATCTACTATGTTTCATTATTGACGCTGTATCGATTGAAAATTGTTGTAGTTTTTGATGTAACAATTCTGCTACTTATTGAATATGTTCAAGTATTTTTTTTGTAATCAAACACTTTCCATTAGATTATATTACGCCATTAATTTTTTTCACTTGCCACCTCAGATGACAGAAAGAGACATGACGTTTGTTTTTACATAAGACAACAAATCAAACGGAAATCGTATAATGCCCGTCTCACAGTATATCACTACCTACCAGCGTCTTTAAAGCTCCCATTGACTAAAAAAATGCTCTATATTAAAATTTTGGAATTTAATTAACTGTCTTCAAAACTACGGTAAACGTGGCAGGTGGCAACTATTGAAGACATTTCTCGTCACATTACATTAATTTGTAACTGCACAATTCAGACGTAGTTGACGAGATGACAATAATTTTGGTATATTCACCTATGGTTTGAACCTAACTTGTACTTATTTGATACTCTTATGTGGTCTACAAGTGATAAGTTTACGATTTTAGTAGTTCCACTTGTACAACTAATTTTCATATTATACATATATACTATTGCATAAGTTCTTAACCCGAGGTCCATGGACCCCTTGGGGGTCCGTAGATGGTTACTCGGGGGTACACGGGGTGGCTGTGATTTTTTTTAAAATAAGCCAAAAACAAATTTTTTTCGATAGCGTGCTTAAGATAATTATAATTTGTAACGAGACAACATCACACGTCGTTCCTGTCTATAACGTATATGCCACTATCGACCTCGCGGCGTGAAAACCGACTGAAAAGACTGTTGTTATCGGCATTCGTCGAACCAGGTAGCGCGCGATTATCTGACCGTTTCGAACCCGCATATAACATACACAGTTTCAATGATATTATTGCACACTTCTGTTACGAACGTAGGGAATTATTACACATATAATAGCCCCGAAATCTTTCCTATTATCAACATTTTCCCCATATCTAAGTGTGTTATCGATTAGCTTTACGAATTAAATCGATACCATTATTTGACGTATCATACGTATATCTAATTTAAACAAACGTACATCGGGCACATCCCCCATTCCGTACACGTAGGTAGAGCAGCAGCAGTTCAACGAACACCCGCACAGCTGAGGAGCCTAGGAACTGTCACCACCGAGAGTGTGAGCCGTCGCCGTCCGAGCTTGAACGTACCACCATCGAGTCCAGTGTCTGCCTAGAGTACGCCGAGTGCACACCCAACGCTGCTGCTCGCCTCATACCTCCACGTCCATCAACCGTGTGCGGTACAGAATCATCTTCCCCTCTTCAACCGTGGTCAGTACGTACTAGGAGTCATTCGACGCTGCCATGGGCTACGCTGCTAAAGCCGCGCATACACTAGACCCGAACCAACCGAACCGAAGAAAATCAAAATGCCGATTTTATATGTGAGTGCATACACTTGTACCGAACCGAAATTCGGGTCGGTTCGGATTTCAACCGTTCAAACATGTTTGAATTTTTCGGCCGAAAATTAGTGGTACTATTCTATGTATAGGTCCTACCTCTTGATTTGAGACGTTGATAATAAATTAAATATTGTGGTCATATCACATTTGGTGTTTTAATAACATCGTTGTGTACCTATTACCTAGTACCTACTATGTCCTAGTATTAAGTACTTTAGATATATCTTAAATCGTGATATTTTAGTATATATGTTTTGAAAACGTGCGTTTTATCTACAATTTTATCGACCGTTTCACATTGGTTTTTCGATAATGTAGTCGAACTAACTCGTAAGTATTTTAGTAGTTGTAAATACATCGCACGTGAGAGTTGCACACCATGCGCTGCATTCGTCAACTGTCGAAAACTGATTGTAGAAAATACGATACGTGGTTTACTTTAGTTATTATCATAAGTCACGACATAATATGATTATTTAATTATCTATTTAGCTATTAACTTTGTTTTCGGAACGAAAATTCGGGGACACTCAATGGCAGCTATACCCGAAAAAATTCGGACCGAATATTTTTCGGTTCGGTCGGTCCGGCCGGTTCGGGTCTAGTGTATGCGCGGCTTAAAACAGCGTAGCATACTTTGGTCAGCACGTTGGTCTTACCGTGTAAATCTCTTAGTACGAACACTGATATTTCGGCATTGTGAGTAATTCCCCATAATATATATATATATGTCGTGAAGATTTGTGAACTCGACAACGAGTATTGTTATTTATGTATAAATTGTATACCCGATTTTAATATTGTGAAACAATAATAATTGTTATTGTCATTTCACTTGTGTTATAATTATTATTATTCAAATAAAAGTTAACAGAATAAAAAAGCTCTACGGACTTTACGTTTTGTTACAAATTGTTGAAACACTTGAAAACCATTTGAAAAAAAAAGAATGTTTTTAAATATAAATCTTAGATTACCATAATCTTATATGCCATATAAAGCTATCGTAATCGTAAAATAATATAACATGGCAATACAATCTAACGAACATTTCAATTTAACACGGAAACCTATCATTTATGTCGACCCATCGCCGTATAGTAAAAATTATATTTATTTATATATAGGTATATATATTTTTTTTTTTTGAAGGGGGGGTCCGAGATTATTTTTTATGCTTTAAAGGGATCCATGTCCAAGAAAAGTTTAAGAATCTATGTACTATTAAAAACGTTATTAATTGTTATTTTCAGAAAAATGAAACTACTCATGATTCATGATATTTCTAAGAATAATTCTCGGAAATGATAATTTCCGTTAAATAATAAAACAATAATTAATAAGCCCGATATCAAAAACAAAATTTGAATTTATATCATAAAAAAAATAGCAAATATACATGACGTATTTATATGCACTACTACAACTACTTCTATAATACGATAAGTGATCTGAAAAATATTAGGTTTCTCATGCCAAATCGTTTGAACTTGATGCACTATCATAAGATATGATAAACCATTAACTAATAATAGTTATCGATTCCTAATATTTTTTTTTTTGCACGATACAAATTGTTGCAATTTATATTTTTATTTTCAAAATATAAGTTAAATTATATCCTACATAAAGTCAGAATTTCTTATTGAGGTCAAAGTCAAGAATACTAACTAATCGTTTTGAATGCAATAATCAAATGAATAATTTACGATCTAAAATATACTAGCTAAGAAATTGTTACTACGAGTAAATCACGAACTCCGATAGGGAGGGCACGTAGTCTAGGTGAGACACCGAAGTATTATAAGTAGAACGTTATTCTTCTATTATTTTAAAATAGCCAAAATATGATGCTTATAGTATCTTAAAAATTTGAATATATGGTTGTAATATTCTTGAAAAATATTAGTAAAATATGTAAAAATATGCTTTTATACCAATATATTTTTCATTCAAATATGCACTTCTATGCAAAATACATCTTTCTATTCAGATTCTTTGTACTATGATTCGTCGACATATCTTACTCCCGTGATTATGCATACATCCATTAAAAACATGTTTTTACACAGAAATCCGCGCTTCAGTTATAAGGAATATAAAAGCTGTATGCATTAAAAAAATCAAACTTCAAGCATTTCGGATTCTTAAATGTTTAGATACAGAACATATACTGTTAGGAATAAAAAATGCAAACAAGATCGAACTGTTCGTAGCTTAAAGATTTTTATATTCTAATTTTTTCTATGTCTAAATAATAAATATCAGTACCTATCTATATATTATAAATACGTAAAAAGCATCAAAATAAAATATAACACATATATTTAAGTTTTAAAATGTAATACGTGTATCATACAAAGTGTCCCACGAGGATATACCCATTGTGATATTACATTGCGTGTTTTATAATATGTCTCACAAAGGTGCGGATTATAAATAGGTATTCATATTTTGATTAACGTTTTATGTTTTGGTACAACGATGAAAAACATAAATTTTTATTTTATTAAAAAGAAATCGTATTGAAAATAATATCGTTTTGATAAGACGAGTATGTTTTAACTCATTTTTTGATAATTTCAAAACATTATTTTTCAGTAAACTAAAATAAAAGAATAAATGTTCAGAATTTACAAAATGAATAAGTGTCTTCAATTATTTCTACAATAACGAAACGACGAATAAATATTCTTAAACTTTCTATCTAAACATAAAAACGTCGTTGAAATACGAATATTTGTACTCCTTAACGCTGCGAGTCGCATAGAAAACCAAATAATTTAATTATCTATTTATCTATTTATTATTTCCGCGAGGGGAACGGCAATGGGTACATATTCGTTTGATGCACTGGACACGCGAAACATGTATCGAAATATAAACAAAAACACATTTAATACAATCGACGGTGTTACAGCAAAAAAATAAACCGAAATACGGCATATTTACAATGTCACGGTTTCGTTACACGTCCACGTCGACTGTTACGTCGTCTCGTACACCGGTCGAGTCGGAGCCGTATTTATGTGGGAGGGGGCACTGAGGACGACCAAATTTCGATTCGTTTAAGGGGACGACCGTAGTACCGCTGTGGCCGGGTGCGCAATGTTTAATCGATTGATTGATTATAAATATCAAACGGTGGAAGACAATAACGAGCAGTTGTTAACAGCGTGGTGATTAACAGATCAAGACTGGACGAAGAATTGTAAGCGAAAAACGTGTGCCTTCGGACGAAGGGGCGGGCAGATACGATTACGACGACGACGCTTTGATCGAATACCATTCGGCGACGTCCGCGCGGTCGGTCTCGGTGCGAGGCGTCCGCCACGACCGTCCGCCGTCGCCGTCTTCACCGCTCGTCGGCGCCGCGTTTTCGGCGGACGGCCTCGCGCCGTCGAAAACGAACAGGTAGTACGCGTCGCTGTACGGGACGGTGTTCCGGAACCTGCCGGACAGCGGTTCGCCGGGCGCGGCCGGCACGCGGTAGTCCACGGCCAGCACGAGCATGCGCGCGTTCGGCACGCGCTCCTTCCGCACCCGCAGCGCGACCACTTGGGCCGCGCCGCGGACGTCTTCGTAGGC